TTTGAGAGTCTGCCCTTGTACTCACAGGAGTTTAGAAGCCTCTGTAATATAGTAAAATGCTGTTAATCTCGTGCTTCTGCTCAACTTCTGCAGAGCAGTGCAGCAGGTTACAGGGTGAGAATGTGTCCCAGTGATACTGGGTCTTCGTGTTGAAGTGCAGACAATGACTGAAGTGAAAGAACACTCAGCTCCACTGCAGTTTCCACAGCAGCCAGACTCATACCCACAGCTGGAGCAGCTGTGCGAAGCCATGTCTGTATTTCTTACTCCCACACATCACTTGCGTGCATTTTGCAGGTGCTCTGCTTTCTCTAAACTGAGTTGTGGCGACTCTGCAGTCAGTGAGTCCCTTGATCACGTATATTCTCACTGTTCTTATCCCCACTCTGTTCTCCTCCCACACAAGCCAAGGGCCCATCCTCCCTACAGGTTCATTTCTGGGGGTCAGGTCTTTGTTTAGTGACCAGGGAATTTACCTAGAGTCTCTCAGTGACTGTGGGTATGGAACTGCGTGATGGAGTCTGGAGGACTTATCCCTGGGTTCAAAATGTCCTATCTTTTTTTTCCAGGCAAAAGCACCTCATGGGTTGTAAACGGCATACCTTCCTCACATTCTAAGGCAATGGGTAATAACCTCTTTATTTTTCCAAAGTCAATGATCTTCAGTGTCATAGCAAAAAGAGGGAGCATGTTTAAGGTGAGGCTAAGAAACTGTCTCCCAGAAGGTAGAAATGAAGCTTCCATCAAATCCCGTGACCCGCCTTTCTCACAAGAAATAAAAGGTTGTCATAGCAAACCTGCTTCACTATTCTTTCTTCTACTTTCCATTCTTAGTGTTAGACTCAGAACTTCTGAGAACTAAGGATTGCTTAATCTAACCTCAGAAAGCGCCTGCTTGAAAGCCTTATGGCAGAGAGTAGCTAGTGGGTACACTAGTGAGGACCACCCTCACCCAGAAAAGGAATTCCAAGGACAAGCTTCTCAAGTGAGAATCTCTGTTGATATAATTAACCTGCTTGAGAAACATAAAGTCAACTCATTACTCCCCATTTCTCCCTTTGGTCAGCCTGTTTCCCTTTTCTTATCTCTCTTTGACATCTGGAAGTTTTGCTGTTATTTTTCCCCATTCATAAGCTCAACATTCAATCACTTGGTTTTCTTTGCTTTCTAGACACAGATGCCACAGTTCCGTATGAAAATGCAGAACTAATGTGCATCTTGAGATACCCACTCATTAGCAGAGCAATGGGTTCTGGTAGGCTCCTTCCTGTACTGATTCAGAAAATGTGTGAGGCAGGCTCAGAAGGGGTCCAGAATGATGGAACTTTATTATCAGTCCACAGGGATTTATAACGTTCCATTGACAGGCTGTTCTGATCATCATGGCTTAATGATTTATATCACAATATTTGTTCTTGGGCAGTAGGGAAAGAAGCTGGAAAGCATTTGTAATGATACCTAGGTTGTATAAATTAAGAAAGAGCATCAAGGAGATCAAAATCAGAAAATTCTGTTGTTTCTGTGTTTGGATCCTTCCAACTAACTGGCTTCCATGGGCGCCCAGGACATTTTTGGGAAGTTGTTTCTGGAAAATCAGATATCAGCTTAAATGAAAGGCTATCTGGTTGTACATGGATAGCAGGGATCAAATCATCATGGATCTCAGTGTCATATGGTGATGTGGTAGCTACCACACCTTCAATGAAATCTGAGTCCTGAAAACCAGAAGAGATAACAGTTGGCTGGGCTAGAGGAGGCTTCAAGGTTGGCCTTTCTGTCCTCCCCTGTATCTGTGTAGATATAGTACTGTCTTCAGAAGAGCTTGTCAAAGGCTCTGTTCTCTGGTCAGTGTGCTTCACATTGTTTTTGTCTTTATGTGTGTGTTTATCATGACCGTGACCGTGACCATGACCAAGACTGTGACCATGACCATGACCATGACCATGACTATGACCATGTCCCACTGTATGTGTATGGTCACAGTCATATTCCCTTTGGTGTTTAAGATAATCAAGTTTCAGTTGATGCCCATGACCAAGGCCATGTGGTTTCTGGTGTCCATGGCCAAGGCCATGCCTCTTTGGGGGAAAATGGCTATGGTCATGCCCATGCTTATGACCACAGTGATTCTTAGCCTTTATTTGCTTTTCATGCATCCTGCCATGCCCATGTGTGGGTCCTTGTTCATTTTCTGTATCCCTCTCTTCTTGCACTCTGGCAATGTAGGGTGGACTTACAGTTGTTCCTTCTTTTGTTACTTGTGCTTGTTTTCCCCGGAAAGGTGAAAAGCCTGGAGGCCTTCTCATCATTGAAGTCTATAGAGGAAATATTAAGATGAATGCATTATATTAGTACCAGGCTGTCGATGGGGGAAGAAGAGACTAAGAACACGATGATGCCATTTTGGATTGCAGTGGATTGAGTCTTTCCTAGATATTAAATACTATAGTTGTTGGCATTTAGTCTACGCTCCACCCCACAGTTACCTGTCAACAACCAGATATGTCCAACTCACTATAAAAGGTACTGCTCGCCCACTCCTCTCTCTCTTGCTCTCTTTTCCTCTTGCTCCTGTTCCCTTACCCTCTTCTCCCTCTCTTCCCATTCCCTCCAAACCTCTCTCCATGTGCTCATGGTCAGCCTCTAAACCTCTTCTTTCCCCCTCCCTCCCTCCTTCCCTCCCTCCCTCCCTCCCTCCATGCCTCCCTCCCTCCCTCTTCCCATCTCTCTCTCCTTTCATTGTCTTACTACTCCCTCAACTCCCTTCCCCATGCCCCAAATAAACTCTATTCTATACTATACCATCATGTGCATGGTACCTCATAGCAAAGCAATGCCTCAGGATGGGCCTACAGAGGCACCCGTTCCCCAACACCATACTGCACCTTTACCAAACATATCCCTGGTTTCTGTTTCTTATAAAATACAACAATGTTACCTTTCTAGAAAAACAAATTAAGAATACTTTTTCTTTCGATTATTCTTGAAATTTGTTGGTCTTATTTGTGGTACTAGGGATTGAACTAAGACCCTTGGACATGTTTGCAAGGGCAGGTACTCCAGCACTGAGTTATAGACTCAGCCCTCCCCTGATTATTGTTCTTAATGATACTCTAAGGCTAAGAGTTTTTCTTCATTTAGAAAAGTGGATGGTTTGATCACATAATCTCTCAGGTCACAGTTTGCTCATTGATATAATTTCTGTTGCAACCATTGCTGTTATTATCCTTAAAGGTCTTTATGGCTAAACTTTGTCAGCCTGTGCCACCATAGGGCCTGCTCACAAGCATGACAGAAAGGCCTTTTACAATGCATTAGAGATAGTAACAAATGACAAGAACCTAAACTAGAAAACGAGAGGTGACAATTTTCACAGTAGTGTGGCTCTCTGGATATGCCCCACCTCCCCTTGTACCAATGTGGGAAGGCCACAGTTGAAGCCAGGGTTCAGAGATGAAAGAACTCAGGCTTCAGAGTCAAACGTCTTCTATTGGTCAGGATCATGATGGAAAGGGTGGGCTCAGGGTTGACCTGCACTCAACACTCTACACACTAAGTCCACTGCTGCAAAATGAAAACCACAGCACCTGACCCCCAGGGCCCTTAGGATTGATGAGAATGGGCAAGGAGCTTGGTGTGCAGAGCCTGGGATGAGGGACTTAGTGAAGTGATGCCCTCTGGAGCCTCAGAGCACTTCAAATCTTAGCGTTCCATCCTTGGCAACCGATGAAGCCCTAGGCACATTAAAGACTCAAAAATACGATAGAGTGCTACTTCCCAGATTTGAACCGTGTGTGTGTGTGTGTGTGTGTGTGTGTGTGTGTGTGTGTGTACCCCTTGAGTACCATTTTTTAAATGCAGTTTGTATTCCTTAACTGTGGAAGGAGAGAGAGTCCACCTTTCTCACAAAGTCCTTCAATGCACAAAGCAGAGCACACAGAACCTAGTAGTGCTTAGGCCTCAAGTGTGTCTTGGATGTGTGTGGCTAGTGATAGTGCCCTCCTTTCTCCTCATTACCAGACACAGAACTACCAGGGAACACTGACAATGAGTTAAGTGACTGAGAGGTTACCTGTTTTCTTTTCCAGCCATAAAACTCAAGATCAGCATAGGACTGTACAACTTCTTATGGGTTTAAAATGGTAGCCCCTCCCCCAGTTCATTTCAGTAATGACTCATTTTCAATACCCATATATTGCTTTTTGGAACAGGCAGAACTGACCCCAAGCTGACCGTACTTAAATCCTACCATTTCTAATGCTTGGCATTTGACAGTCGGGAAGACTTTGTTCTCCCAAGGTCTCATGTACACGTTAGCATTGCAGTTGAGACTTTGCTAATCATGAAAGCAGAAGACAAGAGAAAATAAATCAGCATTAGTCAGGAGGACATGAGCAAGTGACTCTTAAAGCATCACACAGGGACAGTGCTACTCACACCAAGGTGGTTGATCTCACACTCAGCTGTCAGCTCTGTGTTACTTTCCTTGGAACATTTGGTTTCTCTGGCGATGAA